ACTTGCAACTTAATTTGTGCCTTGAAACCAATGGAACTAGGTTGAATGGTCAACAGATGAATTGTGGCCTTATCTCTTAGCTTTCCATGGCTCAAGAATGCTTCAATCTAACACCTACATAGAAAGTTATGGTCAGAATATTAACATAAGGTCAGGTTGTCAATTCTAGTCACCTTCAAGAACTGAATCGTGCAGCTGAATTTTCAACTTGATAAACAACTGAACTGGGTTGAACATTCAACAGATAAATTGTAAGGCTATCTCTGAGCTTTTTATAGAATCAAAGTTCATTGTAATTTAACATCTATAAAAAAAGTTATGGTTAGAATACTAACGCAAGGTCAGGTTGTCAATTCAGAATTTCAACAGCCTAATCATGATCCAAAACATGCTAAGAACAATGTAGTTTAAAAGCAAGAAAATGTTGAGTTTATTTCAACAAAGCAAACTTTCAGGTATAGAAACATGCTGAAATTGAGCAAAATTTTGGATATTTTGAAGTTGAAAATGGAAGTCAATTGAATTTAGAATTCTGGGCTGTTCTTAGTTGATTTTAGCTTGATTAAGTAGAGGAATAAAATTAAAAAATGCCACATTCTTGCTGCATAAAAACCAAGGTATACAACAACATTTTTGTAGCAAAAGTGCACACTTTAGGGCCTAAAATCTAACTACAACTTAGCATAACAAGGGTTGAAATACTGCAGAATTTTGGCATGGAAGTTTTAGAGCAAAAAATAAAGGCTTCTCAATAGGATTTTCTAGGCAAGACAACAACAGAAAAACAACAATTAAAGGACAACCAAAATAGTGGAGAAATCACGTCTTGGACAACAACAGGCATGTACTAAAATAACAAAAACATTCCTGCATAAAACAACCCCTAAAATCTGTCAAAATATGAGCTAGAACGGCACTTACTCAAACCAAATCAGAAACATAAAACAAATCTAAAATCACTTTAAAAAAAGATCAGCAGAAAATTTTCACAATAAGAACAGGAGATTTCGAGGCAGATTTCAATGGAATCTTAACAAAGAAACGAGCACTCATGATTGAATAAAAAGGAGGCTAACTCGCTAATTTGTAGTCATTGTCTAAGTAACAAGGGTGTCAAAGTCTAGTAGAACAGGAGAGGCGTATGACCTAGAAAATAGTTAAAATCAAGCAATGCCTATGAGAATCCAACCTGCTATGACAATCAATTGGTGGAGGAGAAGAATTTGAATTGAACTAGTGGAACATATTTGAAAGAAGGCGGTCTAGGAAAGAGGTGAATATTTGCGTGAAAGAGGAAATAAGATTTTTTTTTTTTTTTTCACTCTGATCATGCACTATTATTGTATAGCCTGCCCTTGGCAATCTCCACCTTACTCAGCATTATTGAACTTAAAATTTGTAATGTGGAAATTCAAGTTTTTAAGCATGGAAGGGACAAGGAAATAAGATGATGAGATTAGCTGCTGCATTCTTTTTAATTTGACTGCTCCTCTTAAAAATTCTCATATTTTGCAAATTAGCGCTTAGCTAGGAAGCATAGACAAATTATCCACCAATTTAAAAACCCTTTCAGATAAGTCCTCTTTTCCTCCAACAATTAATCACAGCCTAAATCTTTGAATTACTCCAATAAAGTCGTTGTAAATAAAAATAAAATAACTTAAAATTTTTGAATATTACAAATGAATACAGCTATGATTGATTTTGTTTCCAAAGATTCATTATGCAATGTTGGATAAAAGAAAATATGTGGGACAAAGGATTCAACACAATCTATTTCCTGATTACGATTGTGAGCATCAGGTGATTTAATAGAAATAAGGACAATAACACAACAAAATTGATCTAATGTATTTCTTGCATTATCACAAGGACTCAACAAAATATACATATTTTAAAAAAATCCAATTTAAAATAACAACAATGTAACCAAATTGATGTAATATAAACTAGAAAAGAAAATGAAGAAAAACACTTGCTAAGATACAAAATCCAAGTAACACCAAAAGACACAACCAAATTCTAACAAACATTCTTGCTCCACAATAGAAAGGAACTTTTCAAACCAAGCAGAAATTCCAAACAATTATAGCACGCACACACACATATATGCTAAAAAGGTTAATTCAACATAAATTAGAACCCAGTAAACTAGAATAGAAACTTATTTGTAGGAAGACACAGGATCTTGCAAAAATAAATGTGATATAATAGAGAGCTCAAGAAACCAATGGTGGCCAAGCAAACAAACATCCACCTGCAACTCAAACAAAAACCATTGTCAATTCTTTTAAAGGAAACCCAAAACAAGAAGGTAATATTAAAAGCTGGAAACAATATGGAAATTCCTCTTAAGTTATCGGAGGTAAGAGATCAGTGCTCCGCAATCACTAGTCACAGCAGAGGTAGGACACAACAGGGGGTAACAAAAAAAGGCAAGAGAATAAAGTAGCAAACTAAAAATAAGAGAAGGAGAAGGGGGAATATATTTTCTAGGAGTATTTAATTAAAGGTTCAATCACCATTTTGGTCCTTAAACTTTGAGTTTTGGACCAAGTTGGTCCTCAGACTTCAAATATGACCAAAATCATCCTTAAACCTTAATTTTTCATTACCAACTTGATTCTTCCATTAGTTAAATGCTGACATGGGCAGTTACATGACCCAAAAATACAAAATTTTAAACCTAAAATATTAGATAGAAATTCTAAAGTTTTAATAAGGTGGATAATTTTCTTTGTCCACCTCAGAACCTTTTATTTAGGTCACGTCTAACATAGAGAGGCCATATCAAAATATGTATAGTTGAAGCACAGCAAATAGTATATTCTTTCATTTCTTCCCGAAATCTCTAAATCCTAAAGTCTTTTTTCTTTTTTCAAGGAAATAAAAATAGATATGGCCCTCATAATCCCAAATGAGCTTAATTTGAGTAGCTATCCGATACGTGGGACGCTGAGAGTGAAGTTGGAGATTTTGCTAATAATGCCTTTCTTTTCCCTTTTCTTTGAAGGCATTTTTAGTAATCTTTCCTATACATTTAATTTCTTCTGCACTTCATTGTTTTTTAAAAATCGAAGTTTGTGTTTGTGGAACAAAGTTTTCCAATTTTCGGTGGATTTGATTTGAGCTATGGATCTTAGTGTGATGGGAGTCAAGTTTTGGGAGATCCAATGATCTTTTAAATGGTTGGTCGATTAAGCTAGGGTTTTCGCTGGATTTGAGCTAGCATTTGCCCATTGAAATTCTTTTTCTAATATGAAATCCTTGATTATACTTTCACTTAATAATAATAATAATAATGTTTTGCAATTTGAAGAGCAAAACATCAACCATTAGATAATGACACCTTACTTGGCTTTAGGGTAATAATGTTCAAATTAATTATGAGATTTGTTAACAAATTTTAATCATGAGTTTAATTTAAGCACTACTAGAAAAAGCTTTTTTTGGATAGAATATTTTAGACAAGAAAATATTATGACCAAAAAAAAGAAAAAAACTTAATTCGGTCAAACAATTTGACTAAAATATGCTTTAGTTCAATTAAAAGATATTTAAAGTAATAATTCAATCTAAAATTATTTCAATCAAATATATTGACCAAAATAAAAGAATGCCAATTGGCGCCATCATTAATTCAGTCAAATATTTATCTGAATTATATTAATAATACAATAGTAAGCATTTTGGTCAAAATTTTTTACTAAATTAATTTAGTATTTTTTGTTTTACTTTAGTTATTTTTTTAGTAAAAAATTTTGACCAAAATATCTATATCCTTTTTTTTTTAATAAAATTGTATTTGTATGGCGCTTTCTTTTCTAATTTTTTTTTAATTTTCTAAAAATACTATTTCAGACAAGATGCTAGACCAAAATTATATTGTTTGACTTCAAGAATCAAGTGAAAATTCTTAATTTTCCACCAAAATTATTTCGGTCAAAATTGTTATCTAAAATTAGATGTTTGGACTCCACAAATCAAATGAAACATTTTGAATTTTCCACCAAAACTATTTCGATTAAAATTACTATTCTAAATTAGATTTTTTTTTTTTGCTCTAAAATCATGTGAAATGTCTTGAATTTTCTATCAAAATAATAAATTTTTAAATATTAATTAAATGTAGTTTGTAATTATATAAAAATGGTAATTATATGTATACTATAATTACACAAATATATTAATTTTGTTTGGAAATTGAAAATAATATTTTGGTCAAATATTTTGACTGAATTATTCAAAAATAAAAGATTTCATAATAACATTTTCGATTAAATTTTTTTTCCAAAATTATCCAATATTTTCGGCTAAGATAGAATTTTGTCCGAAATACAATTTTAGTGGCAACATATTTGGTCAAAAGTTTTGTTCGAATAAATTATATTTCGGACATAATGCCAACATTTTTAGCCAAAAACAATGTTCGAAAAAGCTATTGTTTCTAGTAGTGAAGTAGTGAAGGTGAGTGACTAATATTTTTTTTATTTTATGTGATACTCCATCTACAACATCCATATTAAAATATGGTTCAATTGGGCGTAGAGGTGGGATCCATTATTTTTTCAGGAGAGAGGAGATATACCATATTTTCTCCGTGAGGTTTTCCAGATGGCCCCACCTACGCCCATTTTGACACCTCTGTTCGCTTGTGCATATTCTCAAATATACAAGTGTTTCACCTCGGCTTCAATTACAATAATGCTTCATTACATTTCACCTCGGCTTCGGCCACACCAACCCAATCTCACACATTTTACTTCGGATACGAGTATTATGACCTCAGTTATTATACTTTATTATGGCTCTGGCCAATTTTACTTCTTTATTCATATTTTTATTTTTATTTTGTTATATTTTATTCTGTCTTTATGCTTCAGTATAACTCA